AATCTACCAATAAATTAAAATTGAGATTAAAATTCAACATATAGTGCAATCATTCGATAGAATAAGTATGACTGGATCTATAAAAAATCGAATTACATGAATAAAAAGATGAGAAATCACCAATTCCAATATAGTTCCTTCCTAACTTTACTAAAGTTTTTAGTTCTTCATATCTATCAAATTGCCACCTAAATCAAAATATAAAGATAATGTGTGCATTTTGATATCAAATAATCACGCGAAAAAAATAAATAAGTGGGGAAAACACGATATTTTACACTCTTATCAGGGCCCGCGATTTTTTTCCCTCAAATCGAATCAAACCGTTTCAAAATTGTTTTGATTTATGTTTCAATTTTCAAAAATCGCAAACAACCAAACTGAACCTTTTTTTAAAATAAAAAATTAATTTTATTAACTTACAAATTTTAAAGTTTCACCTTTTAGGAAAAAAACACAAATTTAACAATACAAATTATAATCAACCCATTGAAATAATCATATAAAGTAAATTAAGTTCATTATTGGCCGATGATTTTATAAGTCCACAACACACTTCCTGACCCGATATCTAATCTAAACTAAAATTATTCTCTAATCATATGAAATTAAAAAATATATATATTTTCAACAATCCAAATCATAATTTAACAAAACTGTGACATCAAATCACGTCCACAACTTCAGAAACCCTCACCTAAACTCTCATTTCTCAAACATTTGATACTTACTTGCCACTGCTGAAAAAATGTGATTCTCAATCACAAATTGCCAGTCGCATTTTGCTTGTTAGTCTGCTAATTTTTGTCCAAATCACATATTTATCTCTTCTCTCTGCAAAGTTTTAGATTCTCATTGAAGTCATTTTTTTCATTGTTCTTTCTTTTATTTGTTATTTTTGAACTTATTATACACTTGTGAGATATTATTTGGTTAAAAAAATAATTGTTTGTGTGTTTAGGTGATTAATGAACTTGTTTGTGGTTTAAAAAGAACGAAGTATAGAGCATATTGATTGTGTGAAAATGTTGAAGTTCCCTAACAACACTACTATCTTCTACTTTCTTAAAGTCGTTAGAGAATAAAATTTGTCAATTTCGAATAAACATGAACTCTATCATTCTTTGTATATTTAAATATATCATATTCAGTCCTTATTTTTCATCTCACTAATAAGACAAAAGGAGTTTTAATCAATCTATTACAGCAGAATGTGCATCTATCTTTACCATCCGCTATATGGCAATATGAAAGGCAAACAAGAAAAGGTAAATGAAAGGAAGAAGAATATATTTGTTCTATTAACATCTTTTAGCAACCAATTTTGAAAATAATTTATTCACGAATTTCGTGGGAGAGATGAATGTAATTTAACATTTAACATTATTAGTTCTCGTTTAAAGTTATATGTTAACTTATTTCGGGTTTCATTTTTGGTAGAGAAACATATACTTCTGCTAATAAAGCGATTTAACACGATTTTGTGGTCGACACCACATATTATCGTTCTAGTCCTTTTACGAGCAAATTGCTAGTTGATGCTCCTATAAAGTTAAATCATCAAATTGCTCATTCCAAGAGCATTTTTAGCGCTCTTTGATAGTCATCGACTCATGATAGAGAGAAACTGGAAGGAAATAATGTTTTGAATAGTAATTCTTTTGGAGACTACGTGGTTAATAAATAAGGAAAAATTTTAATTTTACGTGCAAAATATTTTATTGCGTGAATATATAGTTGAAAATAAGTATAAGAAATAAAGAAATTTGAAATAATAAAAGTCAAACAAGAGCTAGTGTTATTATCATTGACTAAGAATTGAAAAAAATTATTCACACTACAATTTTTTATTACGTATAGCACGCTTTAATTGCAATGAAAGTCCTCAATTTTTACTCATGTTGACATTTATATCTCAAAATCTTTTGTTGCATTTTTATCTTTAACTTTCAATTTAATTAACACATCTTATTTCCGATAATGATTTTTTATCCAAATATTCTGCTACTTACAGATGTGAATTGAAATGAGGGGCACATATTTTGTCAAACTTTTGTATCTGTAATTTATTTTGCTTATTTAAAATAAAAGAGATAAACTATTTTTTTTTTTACGTCCTCCTAAAGATGTTGTGATGAAAACTATTATCAAAGATAAGATGTGATAAAAATTTGACGATGGAGACACAAGTGTGAAAAGAGTAAATGTTGAAGACATTCGTTGTTATTAAAATGTGATATAATTACCTTTAAAAAATTAGAATTGTTGTGAGGTCTAGTGATATGTGTAATTTCTATATCTATAAAGTGAAGAATTTAGAAGTAAAATTGATGAGACATAATTTGGTTAAATATTCTTCATTTTTCACCCTTTTTGACTGATAGATCCAAAAATTACTCTTTTACGAGAAGTTGACACCCATTGTAAAGCATAAATCGTTTTGTATTTCATCTAGAAAACTTGAAAAATAAAAGATAAATATATATTTCAAATCAAGACAAGATTCATATTCCTAATAAGAGTAACTAACCCTATAATATATTGCAAAAACCCTTTAATATATTGCAAATCATGGGAGACCAATTGTCACTATTTTGGGAGAAATCATACAATGCTTGCTTTTACATTCGCATCTTTCATAGAGATATATGAATATCACATGGAATGATAATTTTAATTCTATTTAAGAGAGATTATTAAATAAATTAAGAACACTGATCAACAAAAAATGAATAAATATTATCATGATGTTAAATTGTATTAAAATAGATTAATAATGGAGATTCAAAACAAACCAAGTTTACAGAACCTTTCTTAATTGTTCATTAGTTAATTTAATTAGATAATTAGTATAAATTCACAAAATAAAGTTTGATTATTCAATTAGTGTTAGCATTTATTAACACTAGATGAAATGCACCGTCTCCGTGAAATGATACTCTATTAATCACTTTATTACTAGTCTACGGTATCATATATTTACAAAATTTCGCCGATCATCTAGTTCAGCCTTGTTTGACAACCTTTAAAATGAATTTTTTTTTAAGGAAAATGAGTTTTGGAATATTGATTTTTTTTAGAATGCGTGATTAAAAAGTAGGAAATTTTTTTGAATTTACTTATAAAATATTTTATTGTACAAATATGTGATTGAAAATGAATTAAAAAAAAAAAAAAGCAAATTTTGGCTTAATGATTGTTAAACAGGGACTCAAAGACCCACCCCTAAAAAAATAGAACCTTGCTAAGTCTGGCCAAGAATATTTGCCCAAAAAAATATGGGGTACTTACAAAAATACCCTTAAAATTAGGGATGTTTTGAAAAATCATGTGAAAAGTTTTTATGAAGTAAAAAATAATGTGTAAAATGAAAAAGTGACACTTTTTTTATAAAAAAAAAATGTCACTTTTTTACTTTTTTTAAAAAAAGTAATACAAACTCAAAAAAAGTGACATACCAAAATAGTATCATCCATTGTACAACACCAGTAATCATGTTCTTAAAATAATCACTATGTTTAAGCCAATCCACATGCTGATTACGTTAAAAAAAATGACAATGAAAATGTGATTCACTGTCACTTTTAAATTTCAGTATCACTTTTTTTTGTTAAAAAATGACATACAGTGTCACTTTTATTAAAAAAAAAATTGATGTTTATCACTAAAAAAAGTGATAGAAATTAAGAAAGTGACTGAAAAAAGTGACAATTTAAAAAAATGGCACAAATTAAAAGAAGATATACAGATTAAAAAGGTGACAAAACATTCAAAAAGTGATAAAATTTAAAAAAAGTGACAAAATAAAAAAAGTGACGAAAATTTTAAAAAAGTTACACGAATTAAAAAAAGTGACAAACACTCGAAAGTGATGAAATTCAAAAAAAGTGACAAAAATAAAATTAAAAAAATGACAAAAATAATATGATGTTGATATTCTCGTTGACAAAAATCTACCTATAATCAAATTCGTGCAAGATAAGAACCAATCCTTATATAAATCAATTTTGTCCTTGGTAGAACTATAAAAACCAGCACAAATATCAAACCATGATACATGATTTTCCCACTTTGTTCTTGTGCAATTACCAACAATACATTTTTTTTAAACCGCAGAAAGAAGACATTACATAAAAATCTCACAGAAGAATCACAGCTCTGCATTAATTGGCCCAGGTCTACTAATACATAAATGCTAAGTTGAGTATTAAACATAAAATCATTCCATCAAACTCTTGATAGATTCTATGAGGCAGTGTGACAGGCCTATCACAAGACACACTAAAAAAATCAG